AAGATAAAAATTTCCATAGTACATTATATGGCAATTAAAAAGCTTGTGAAAAGAGAAGCCTTAGTGAGTTATGGGACAACAATCCCTTCAAGGCTCCCAAAGGCAATTTTAGGTAGGTTAGTACCTAAAAAGACAAGTGTAAATGATTCATAGGAACATGCAAAATCAGAATAGTGTAGCAAAAGTATGGTCTTGAAACTTGCCATGAGGCAACGCTATCAAGGTTGAAGAATTAGCTCCCAAACATTCAAAGAGATGGCTTTGAATAAAAATCAATGTTTGAGGGCTTTCATGCTTATGCATAAAACCATGGTATGCTAGTTAGGTGAATTATTAAGTGAGATTGGCAAGTCAAAGGAACGAAGACCCTAGTTGAAGGAGTTGATTTCAAAAGGGGTGGCCTATAGGGCCAAGCATAAAGTCCATGCATAATAACAGGCTTGTTAAGTGAGAGGACTTGCAAGTTCAAAGGAACTAAGTTCTTAAGCTGTGATCTATAGTGCATATTAAGTATAATTTGGTGCACTAGCATGGGGAGTCACACCAAGCATCTTTAGTGATGCCACCCGTAGATACATATGTCGAGGTTGGGTTCAAGTTTTAATTCTCTAATGCTTGGGTGTAAGCTCCTGAATTAGGGCCCATGAACAAGAATGCACCCCTTTTTCCAATTGGTTAAGGGTTTTGGGATATTTGGGGTTAAACATCCTTGGGTTTGAATAATACTGGGCTAGGTAACCTCCCAGGAAGTCTAAATTCAGGAGCTTACATTAGGCTCAAGTCCCAACTCACTAATGATAAATTGGAATATGAAAACACTCTTTTTTGATGGTTGTAGACTCTCAGTAAGGAGGCTGGCTTGGGCACACTGCTAAACGGGGGATGTCCTAGAGTCATGATGCATGATTAGATTGCATAGTAAAAAAGCTCGACATATCTAACTTGAACACTTTGATGTAAGTGGCACCAAGGATGTGGTGAATAAGATGGAGACACCCAAATTTAGTTGTTATGGACCTTTGGCCAAAAGGGTTGGCTTGGGCAAATTGCCAAGGGTGGGGGATGCCCTAGAGTTGTGGTCAACAAGTTAGAGTTTAGTAAACTTAACCCTTATTGGTAAAAACCCATTAAGCTATTTATATAGGATTACTAAGTGATTTCATAGTTGATAATCAAGGATAAACTCCTTAGTGGTTAAAGAATGGTGTTCTTAGTTGAAAGTAATGATTTGAACAAATGATATAGTGTGACTTGGTCAAGGTGACTAAGTGGGAAGGACAGCTAAGGGAAATGTGTTGTAGTAATGCAATGGCATTGTGAGTTCAAGAAAGTAGTTTCTAAGGACCCATAGGAGGGTCACAACGTTGAGCCATGAATAGAGCACACAATAGAAAATGCTAGGGAGACTTACTAAGGTGAACATCCCCTAGACTTGGCAAACCAAAACCTTTACTATGGAATTGAAAGGATACCTTATGGGAAGTAGTGATTTTATATTTTTTGGTGCAACAATTAAAGGATAGGAGCAAAATACTAATGGTCGAGCATGGGTCATAGAAATCATTGAAAGGAATCCAAATGATTATTCAAGCAAAGAACCACTAGATGGTAGATGCTAACAGATTGTGGGAAAGGAAATATATTTTTAAGAATGGATTTCTCTAATGCTTTAATGTGGCAAAAGTGAAAACTCCAAGAGATGGAGCAGCAAAGTAACCAAATAATAATGCCATGAACAGCTCTAACAAAAATTATGGATAAATGGAACTTAGTGCCTAGGGTGGTACAAAATAAAAGAAAGAATGATGGTGCCCTCTAGTGAAGAACTTCTTAGAATGGGGAAGTGGAGTTTGCACAACATGTGTAATGTAAGGTGTCAAAGACACATAGAAGATTAACTCAAGAAGTCAATATAAAAGTTCCAAAGTATGATGGTTATATTGGCAAAGGCCAAGATTACTCTAGAATGAGTAGTAAAATTGAAATAGAGAAAGTATCTTTAATGGGTTTAGCACAAACTAAACGAACAAAGGTAGAGAACTACCACTAGTGATCTAATGAGACTCCTAAACTCTATTTGGCTTTGTTATGCATGTTTGTTCTGGCATTGGGATATTGGAAGTTTTAGGACTGTTCCACCGTTGCTTTGTGCTTCTGTCCCTTTGCTATATTCTCAAGAGTTGGACTCCTTTCTATACCTTCATTCTGTGGCCCAAAGCCCTAAACTCAGATTCCGCCCTACTGCCCTTAGCCCACATGTGCAAGGGTTAAACTTCCCACTCCATGGTTATCTTATGGTAAACCATCATAGGGTAAAGGGTGAAAACCTGGTATCAAATGATAAGTGTTAGTGAGTATTATTAATTTGGGCAACTAATCTCATTGTATACCTAGAGATAAAAACGATGATCCAAATGGGTACACATTTGGGTGTTATGGCTTCACATATGTCCTTTGGTTATGGATTTTAGTTACCTTTTTATACTAGATTATATAAGCTTTCATTTGGGCTCATAAAATGATGTGAGATATTCCATTTGCACGAGTTTGTGCTTCGGCTAATGAGTGATGCACATTAGCAACTCAAGGTTAAACTTTGAGTTAGTAAGATTAATATTAGCTTATCGGTGGTTACCATGAATTGTTCCATATTACTATGGGTAAAAGTAAACCTTCTTTGTGTTGCTATGAGTGGCAAATAAGTGAGTCTTTAACTACTTAGCACGGCACTAGTGGATCCTTTCTAAGCATAAATGTAAGTGAGTTAATCAAAACAGAAGGGATTAGTCTATTAGTTCAAGCAGTCATTGCTATACTCTTTTAGACACTTTTCTTGGATTGGACTGAAGGTCGAGTGCACAAGTTTAAGGTTTAGTCAACTTTAGACCAAAAAGAGAGTCATCAAGGACAAAGGATTAAATACATAAATCATTTTCTCTACTTTGGGAGATGATTTACAATGAAGTGTCATCTCATTGCTGGTGTTCACATCATGCAATCAAAAGCCCTTACCTTGATGCATGTTTCGGGAGTCGAGTCTTCAGGAGAGGGGATGTAGAGGGTTCCAAAAGTACAGTGGGGATAGTGAGGTTACGGATCTAGTCTTGAAAAAACTCTATAGTGGTGTTTCCAAACCAAATTGAGGTTGGGACTGGGGGTTATTGTCCTTGGGTGGGAATGAGCATGGACTCAGAGGGTGACAAATAAGCCTCCTAAAGAAGTGCTCAAAGGCAACTCCCATTCCTAGAGGGAAACCAACTGTAGTGCTCCTGGCTCAAGTGGAGTGTGCCCCACTTGAGTACCATGCAGCTCATTGGTCCTCACTCGGGCTTGGACCTTCCTTTTGGATGGAGGTGGGAGAGTCAGGGTACCCATACTAAGCCATTAAGCCACAATGTTTCCCCCACAGTAAGACATGCAAATGCTTGGGATATCCAAGCATAGCCATTCACTTTAGGGAAGCAGATATTTGGTGCTCCCAAATCAATAAGTATTCTTAAGTGGCAGTGGCATTGATCTCAACTTGTCAATGATCAGAAGTCATTGCTACCTAGGAATCAGATGCAACTCACATGGAGAATGCATTTATCAAGTCCTCAATGATACTTTGCTGTGCAATTCTCATTTAACCATCATGGAGCTAAGATTTAATACACACTGTTTAAGAACATCATAACCAGGTGATGCCTGGCGGTTAGCAGCCGTGAACAGGTTGTTCCTGCTTTAAAATCCTTCCCTGCACATGTCAGCAACCAGGAAAAAAATTAGCACCTTAGATCAGATTGATTCCCTCGTCCACTCCATTTTTGAGCAAGCAGATAGCAAACCGGTTAATCCCACGTGCTGCTTGGCAATGGCTGGCCGTGAGCGAGCATGCTCGATTTGAGACTCAAATATAGACCTGATTCTGGTATGCTTGGTTTGAAAAGGGTTTTTTTTTTTTTTATCCATGCTTTTTTTGTTACATTCCAGTGGCACGACTTCTCTAGAACAAATACTCGGAGATAGTGCCTTTCTCCTCACTCTTGTGCTATTAAAATGTCTTAGGTGATCCTCCAGACATTTTATCTGCACTACATTATGAAGAAGACATGACATAAGCATTACAGGGACCAATGGGAAGGCGGATATACGTTTTCTTGCTTTGCAGAATGAATTTCTCTTAAAAATTTCCTTCTAGGTTCAACATTCACTTCTTGGCAGATGGCAGAAACTAGGGCCATTCCTCCTCACTGTGAAGACCCTTCGCTTGTGATCTCCTACCCAGCACACAGAGGCGGGAGAATGCATTTTTCTGGAGTTTCCTCAATATGCTTTCGGCCTTACATGAAGCACCTAGTATCTGGAGGTGCAGACGGCAACGTTTTAATGTGGGGACTTCAATCGTGTCATGAATCTCGAAGGCAAATACGCAGGCCATACTGCTTACAAGGACACAAGGTCAGTTATTAAAACAGGGAATGTCAAGTAAAAACAGGAAATGTTTGGCAGGCTCCCGTATGTTCTGTAGCGGTCTCTCCTCTAGACACAGTTGTTGCTTCCGGATCTAAGGATAAGACTGTGCGCTTATGGATTCCAAGAGTGTATACAGTATTTACATCTTTGAATATATATAAAGTAACTTTCATGTTCCAGGTATGCAAAATCCACTGTTATTAAGGGACACTCCGGAACTGTTAGATCAATAGCCTTCAATCCAAGTGGAGAATACCTTTTAAGTGCCTCGGATGATAAATGCATGAAGGTATTCTTTAGCTTCTGTTTTTGGCTTCTTTGTTTCGTCTTGTGAACCATTGAAAGGTCTGGGATGTGGAGACGGAAAAATTTGCATTTGCTTTACTAGGGCATCTGAACTGGGTTAGGTCTGCAGAGTTCAACAATGATGGCAGGTTAAGTAGTCACTGGTGTAAATTTATCATCAGTTTCTCTTAGATCAATTGTGTCAGGATCTGATGACAGAACTATTCGGCTCTGGGATGTTGAAAGCCGTCAGTGTATTCACCAGTATATAGACATACTCGGGTACGAAAATCTGTAGATCAAGCAAAGAATGTTATTCACTTTGACAAATGAAGGATGGTGCGGTCAGCTAGGTTTCACCCCGAAGGCAAGTGCATTGCAAGTTGCGGAACTGACGAATGCATTCAGGTGTCCACGAAACGTTGGAAATGTTGACGTACTAATATGCCTCAAATGTAGCAGATTTGGGATACTAGAAGCAAAAGATTGGTTCAACATTACGCTGCTGACACAGGAACTGTAAACACAGTGTCCTTCCATCCCTCTGGCGATTACCTTCTCTCAACATGTGATGATGGTGGACTAAGGGTAACAACTCTATGGCTTTGGTTACTGTAAATTAACAATTGCAGCAGCTTTGGGATTTAAGAGAAGGCCAGCTTTTGTATATGTTGAAGGGTCATGAAGGATCTACGAATTGCGCTGAATTTTGCAAATCGGGTGACTTTTTTGCATCAGGAAGCGCTGATGAGCAGGTAATGAATTTCAAAACGTGAAGGCTTATAATTAGTAACAGGTAGTTATCTGGAGAAGTAACTTTACTGCTTCTCGTGGCCTATATCCCGGTACGGTTGTTTTTGGGGAGTATATAACCTAGTTTGATTTACAGGGATTCTAGCTAGTGCTTTACACGAGGATGATGCAGCAACTACCATAACTTACCCTAATTTTGAGAAATCTGAACGGGAATCTCAAACTAACACTAACGAGAAGAAAGAAAACTTAAAAAAGGAAGAGGTAATTATAATAATGTAGACATGTGGAGCTGACATAACATTTTAATAGACCGAGAAACCATCAACTGATGTTTTAAAGCCAGGAGAAGAAGATTACGAAAAGGCATTTCAGGCATGTAACATTTAATATTCTACTTGCATTTAAATAATGGTTATTTAGGCAGTTGTGACCCAATTGAATAGTTTGACTAAGGCCGTTACTTTGTTAGAGAAGCGTTTACAGGGAAAGAGAGGTATGCCTATTTTTCTTAGAGAAGTCGATCTTATGCTTCACGTTTGGCTTAAAAAGATCTGAAGCATACACTGGTAATGAGGTATTAATTGACATCTTCTGGGGCATAGGAACCGAGAAGACGTGATTGGACGCAGATGAGCTTGTCATCATGAGCACCAAGCTTGAAATACTTGCCTATGATGTGCAGTTCTCAAGATTCTAAACAGCCATTGCCGGTTGATGTTGGTGAGCATGATTTGAGATTGGAATCTTTTGGAAGTGTCTACATCCTCGTATATGAGCATGTAAATTGGCATTTTGCCACGCTCACAGCCAAGTTCGATATCGTAGGACTAGAAACGCAGAAGCAGCTAGATATCCTTGCCCAGTTCTGCGATCAAATTCAACCTCCCACTCCTCCCAATACTGTCCTATGGACGTGGTCGGAATGATGCGCCCCAGCCCCATCAACTACATTCTTCACCACTAAGAGACCTTGGAAAGCTGGCTACTGGTGAGCCTGAGTAAAGCCAAAATCTTCCGCTGGGACTAGGAGCTTGCAATACACATACCACCAACACCTCATCTATATGGATCCCGTCATGGGCGCCCAGACAAAACAAGAAGGGAGGTCACAATCAACAATTTTGTTTTCCTCAGTCCAGGACCGCATCTCCTTTGGACTCTTGTGTATGGACATGAATCTCCCACTGGGATTCACGCGTGGAGGGAAACACTCCAGTTCATCTTCAGGGTGATGAACACCACGTTGCAGAGATGTGGGAGCGTCGTTGTCCGTATTGACGTTTTGGAGCCCCTTGGGAGAAAAAGATATAGAATCTCTTGGACGGCGTTTCTAGAGGCGTGTAATAGCCATAGAAGAAATGTGAGCGTGGATGTGGAGCACATAGTTGGGAGTACTTAGTTTGTATATCATTGTTGGAGGCTGACTTCGTCCCCCATACCATGGACATAACCATGTAGGGACTCCATGTTGTTAGAGGTGCTGTTGGATTTAGACCATCCTTTAGATCATAATTGACATTCCCAATTGTTTCCCAATGGAAATATATGCTAGCTTGCAACTGGAGTGACTAGCCTTATGTGGACCAATGGAAGGGCATGGATTAACTTATTTCCTATTGCACAGTTCAAATTTGTTTGATGAGGTGTCTGTGGTTGAATGGAGTTCATCTACGCTCGAAATGGCCTTCTACCACATCGACCTTCACTTTCGACACAATGGCGGAAAAGCCTAGGTGCTTGTTAGCATTTGACAGGACCATTTTTAGATCTGCATGTATTTTTCTCTTCTTTGTTGAAAACTGCCATAAGATTAATATGGTTTCACCTATAAATGATAAAAACTAAGGCACAAAACTGCATTTACCCTCTCATAGTAACTACTGTCCACGATTTGATGGCCAAATTTATATGATGTATTAATCACAAAATTTAAAATTCTATTAGCATCATTTACCAGTTGAGTGGCAATCAGCACAAAAATCAAACCCTTGAACACAGCAGTGTGTTCCTGATCTTGAATGAAACTCATGTTTTCTTGATGAAAAAATAAGAGAATCAATTATGCATAGAAAGAGTGTGGGGAGAGGCTAGCTTCCTGTACGTAATGCCCTATGTTAAACTCAAGGAAGTGGCATGTTTGTGCACTATTTAAACTTTCTTTAGCTAAAACTACAAACTCCCTAAGCAGCAACTTATAATATATTCTATGATGTTCAAGGCGTGAATCCTGTGTAGAATGGATGAGTGGCATAATAATATCCCCTCAATAGTTGCATGAGAAGCAAGCAGAAAGTAATCGTTCCAATTGATCTGTTTCATTTCTTATTTCTTTTTCGTTTCACTTCCTTTTTCTTTTTATTTCTTAAAGCTATTAACATACTTTCCTTTGTACAGGTTATTACAGTTTCTTGAGCACTGCCTTTTGAGAGGCTAGAGATGTCTAGAGAAGCATTCATAAACTTCATACCAGAAGCTGTGAAAAAAAGCTTCTCAAAACCTTACTTCGAAGACCCTTCCACGCTCCCAGTCCAGTTGTAGCAAGTGCCCGGGCACCTTTGCTCATCAGCCAAATCCATGATGGCTTTGAAACAGAAGGAATGATTTGAGTGTGCTGCTCCACGTGAATCAAAGAAAAAACAAAACACTAGAAAGACCATATGATGATGCTCGCCAGGTTGCCATTTTTTGTTGAAAGAAACGAGTCTGGAAGCCAGTTAATGTCAGTCAAACCTTTAAATTGATCGCATCCACTGCTAGTGCCTCGTTTTTCTTGGCTCAACGAGGATGCCCACTGCAGTCCTTACATCCTTATTGCTCACAGTGGAGAAGCTAGGGAATAACTGAGGTTCTTCGAACGAACCACTGACTCGCGTTGCCGTTGCAAAGATCGTGGTGGAGAAGGGTTGATAATGGAGGAAGCCTATCAAGTTCAGTTGACACGTTCCAGGGCGTGGATGCAGCTATTGCAATCTTTTGGCTAGATTTTATCAGACTATGGGCAATATTGCAGGGGAAAGAATTCGTCTTTGGTTAACGTGGAGGTTATTCTTGCATTGGAACGGAGCCTTCCTCCTCAATAAGTAGCTGTGTTTTTTATTGCGGAAGTAAACAGATATACTTGCACAGGAATTTTCCTTCATCAAAACTCCTGAAGTTCTTTTTAAGAGCTAGATTGTAACATTCAGTCAATTTCATTGTATTCATTTTCTACTCAATGGTGTAAAGCTTGCAGCACTCTCTCATATCCTGCACTAAAAGTCATGGAGCAACTAATACAAGAAGATTATAACCAGGTGCTTGGAAGACCTAGCAACAGTGAATGTCATTTGCTAATTCGTGAAGGTTGTCCCTGCTTGAGTAAGCACACCATTCCCAGAAACTGGCATTTTAAAGTTTTGACACATTTGGAAGTGGATGTAGCGCTAGTTGTATTACTCTTTTTTTAATCCTTTTGTAATTTAGAGTTTCTCTTTTTCGCATACAGGTTTCTTTGCTTGTGTCCATGAATGGAGAGTTGGTCCCTGTTACACCGCTACAACGTGGCCAACTAGAAAAATTTACCAAAATGGCAATAGTAATAAAAGCGCCCCAGATATCTGTCCGCTCAAGCTTTTGATTGACTGTGATGTGGTAGAGAGCTATACAAATCAATCATATTCTCATGGCAAGTGTCAAACATGCTAACATTGGAAACTAGGAGAGAAAGAAATAATGCAATCTAAGCTTACCCACATAAAAACAAAAAAACAAAAAAAAACCTACAGGGCTTACCTCAATGATGCTTTCACTAGAGTTGAAGAGAAGTTCTCAATTGCAAAAAAACTGTGAGGAGGCAGGAGCAAGGAATTCTAGACAAATCTAGAGTTAATCACTTCTCAAGACTGTCCAAGATTTCTGGAAAAGATTGAAATGGTTAGACAAGAAACCAAGCGAATAACTTATAATAACTTATAAGATGGCGATAGATCGAGCATAATTGGAAGAAGTGCCACTTGTTTCAAGCAGCTTGATCAAAGCAATCTGCTCCTCTAGGATCTGCTGTGCCAGATCAAAATCCCAGCTGTGAGAAAGATGGATCATACCTTGGATTGCTCCAACGCCTCCAATATATTCATTAGAAAACCCTTACTCCTCCCCTTGCTTTGGAAAATTCAAATGAACAAGCTAGTATCTAATTCCTGGAAAAAATTTAAAAGGGTATACTTGTCTTTTTCATGTATACTTGTTTATTCCAATTTAGTGAGTTTGGGGACAAATTCCCTCCCCTTGAAATACTCGAGAGATCACTCCCTTACCCGGTGTTAATCTCAACGAAACCGTGTTAATCTCACACAAGGTGGTGTTAATCTTGCTGGAGGCAGTGTTATAATGTTTTTAGGTGGTTCTTTAGCCGAGAATTGAAGTCCAAATACCTCTTTCTCCCTTGAAATCTCTCACTTTGCAGCTGGAATTGCCAGGGTTTGTGAGGAAGTGGATGATGTAGGTAACATGTGGACCAATGGGAGGCAAAGTTGCATTTTAACTTTATATCTAGCCTGTTAACAAGCAGATAACTATGCCCTATTTCTTCAAGTACGGAACCCACAACTGTAGAAAATGACTAAATTTTGACTCATCTAATTGCAAGTTGCTGATACAACCCAGGTGAACCAATGCCAAAACCCCATCCCAGAACAAAATTGAAGGTAAGAAACAAAGACAATGAAAGAATACTACTTCCATTCAAACATCAAAAGTACAAGAATCTGAAGTAACTCTCCATTCTCAACCACTTGAGCTTTTTTTTCTGACAATGTTTTATTTTCAAATTTCTGCAAAACGTTGACATAGATCACCTGGTTAGCAAAAACCTTGTCAAGGTGCATGCCAAAAATTAAAATCCACGTCACATCTATGGGAAATTCTGGACTCGCAGTTAATAAAGATTTTTTTCCTTCTACACCAGGCAAAGTAGGAAATTATCTTACTTTTATTGATCTGAGTGAGAAATATTCTGAATGTTTCATGTTTGAGGCTATAGTCATATGGCAACACATTTGTGGCAACAGGTTTGACATGAGTCACAAGTCAATTCAGAGTCAATTTTGAGTAAAAAGCGAGTCAATTGGGAGTCACAATGGAGTGGATTTGGATTGACATTTGTGACTCCCCTGCAAAACGACTGAAAATTCACTTGCATAAACACTTTATAACCATTTTATTAATGCAAACAATGTCACTTCACTCTGACGACCACTACATACACCACTGAAGTGAGGATTTCCCACTATTGAGCAGAAATTGCTTGGTAGCCAGACTGCCACATCATTGAAAAGAAGTGCAACATTACTTGGATGGTTCTTCAATTAGGTAGACTCTTTGAAGGAAAGAAGGCAAAGAAAGCTCAACCTTGGAGCTGTCTTCTTTGTGTAGTCTGAGTGACAATTATACAAAGTCAACACTAAACTATTTATAAGCCATTGAATTATTATGGCAGTAGCATTGTCTTGTGTTTGTAACCTGATTGTGCTAGGGTTATATGGCATTACCTTGTAGCCATTCACTGTAAACACAAGTGCTATGTGTTTCATAACCATCTACTGAGCTATTTTCCACAAGTAACCCAGATTGGCTAGTGTGGTAGTTGGTATAAATGTTGTGTTTGTTAGTCTTTGCAACACTCATTTTGTTTTGTTGATTATTGCTATAGTTAGTTCTGATAGATTAGGATGTTATTTTCTTTGGGTGATACATGTGTATTTTGTTTGTTAGTCAATGATATTTAGTGTTCTTTGAATTATCTTACATAAGTTGTTTAGTATATTATCTGCAATCTTTGATAATTAAGTTTTATCATTGAGTTTTCTTGATGATACACTAGCTATTGATTTTGTTCAATGATTTTCCAATTCTGATGATCTTGATGATTCCTATAGCAGTTAGTGCT